CCCAGCACCCCCCACCCAGACCAACCCCCCATCCCCCCACCAAAGCCAAAATTTTATTGCAGATTCGGGGTCCTCTCGCCGAGCGCAGAATGACCCCGGTTTCAAAAAAAATAAAATAAAAAAAATTCTGGGTGTTTTTTTGTCCTGCCCGGTTTACCCGGGCGACCCCCCCTGGGCCCAACCGGCTGGGCCCAGCCCGGCAGGGCAGGCCCGCCCGGGCGGCGTCCTCACTCAGAGAAAACGCAAAAAGAGTTTAAATTTTAAAACCATAACCGCTCAGCAAGGCGTCACCTTCAGTCCCAAAATGAGTTTGCAGGGGGTGTTTTGACTTTTCTTGCAGGATCGGTCAATTGCTGATGGATGTGGATGGATGGATCTCGAGTTCGAGCGTCATGCATCTTGATTGGGAGCTGTGGGTGCAAGTAGGACTACAGCAAACAGATTAATAGAAAGCAGGATTTGTTTACTCGAAGAGATGTAATTCTGTCTCTCCTTCTGGAATTCCTGTTTTTGCGACTTTGATCTGGCTGTCAAACTGTAAAGTAGAGACTAGGAATCATGACCTATGCTGGAAGTGAATGCTATACCTTGCCCTTGCCCTCTTGAGCAACATTTCCCTTACCCTTGTGGAGAAAATTCCCAACTGCAGAGAGGAACAAAAAAGGGATAATTGCCGTATTAGTTGGTAGATATGGCCCACTGCAAAACCTTTAGGGTGATCACACCCCAAGTCCTCCGGTTGGGTGCAAAACGCCCACGGGCATTTCAGGCCGTCCGATGTTAGTATCTGGCGGCGGTCATTCAGTCCAGCCGGCTCAGCCTCTTTATACTGGATTACGAACCTGGCGTTGTATTTGCTTCAGATTCATTCTCCTTCAGGCCCTTTGTCCCCAACCGGTGGACTTTGGGCTAAAGGTTTTGCAGTGGGCCTTATCTACGAATTATCCCGACAAAAAGCACCAGAGAGCCTGCCCTTCGCTGAAGGGGCCTTGGGAGTCAACAGCCCCCTGGACGAAGGCAGTGAAGCACCCGTCGTAGTTCTCAAATCTGGCCGGTCAGAATCTGAGTTTTCTGGCAGTCCGCCCTCGCAGCACTCTGTTGCCCACTCCCAGCTTCGAGAGTTGGTCTCAGCATCGCCAGAAGCATCAGACCGGGCGGATATCTGTGTTTATAATTAGCTCGCAGACAATCCTCTGAAAGCTTGTGCTGCGACTCTGTAGGCTCTGTTCAAGAGAGAGGAAAGGAAAGACTTCGGCTGGTTGATAACAGCAGTTTAAGCGTGGGTAATGATCAGCTTCCCCGATTCTTCTCTTCTGCTTCCAAGGTGTGTTCTGTTCCCAGAAAAGTCTGTCCCTTTGTTGATATAGTAGACAAAGAAGGAAGAGAGAAAGAGAGAGAGAGAGAGAGAGAGAGAGAGAGAGAGAGAGAGAGAGAGAGAGAGAGAGAGAGAGAGAGAGAGAGAGAGAGAGAGA